CGTGTAATATAGGAGACACACGGTTGGAGGGGTGCAGGGCGGGCCCCATACAGAAGGACAGGTCCCTGCGCTTATGAAAACGAGGCAGCCACTCCTGGTAGTTTTATTCTGTCAACCAGAAGTGTAATAATTGTAGTTAATTAAGTTTACACGCTGGGGCATTTAAAATGGTATTTAATCTATTTAACAATTGTGTGCAGCATAAAATTTTACGCCATTTTTCTATTTCATTTTTGTTAAGAATTATTTTGCTCTTCTAAAATGCCGAAATTTATGCTTTGGGCAATATGCTGAATTCAAGGACACAGTTAGCTGTTCGTGGAGGCACCCTCGCTGTCGTTCCGTTTTGTTGTTGTTTGTTTAAATCCGTTTGCGCGGGGAGGGTGGCGGCGGGGAGCGGATAAGCCCCTTTGGTTATTGGCACGACGGGGGTGTGGCTTTATGGGCCCTATTCGTTTGACTATACGCTGCCGCTCGACACGTTTAATTTTAAGTGTTGCGCGGGTTGACGGGGCGTACGGCGGGGTGCGCGCAGGGTGCGGGCCGAATGGGTATGAGCTGCGGGGCTGCTGGACGAGGGCTGCGCTGCCCTGGCTCGGGGGGAGGGCGAGCAATCGCTACCCAACCCGCGCACTGACATAAGACCAGGGCGGCCGGCGAGGACTTCGGCTTATACATCAACAATTATAAGGACAGCGACTGTACTACAAATTCATCTCTCTGCCTCTCCCGCTTCACGTTCTCCTCCCCCCCCCCCCTCTCTCTCTCCCTCATCCTCGCCCTAGTCCATTCATTATATAGCTCTCTCCTCTGATTACTCGAGATGCGGAATTATTTGGCGGGGGCCGTGAGGAAGGCGGGTGGTCTCCCCGGCAGACCACATAAAGCGGTGGATTCTGGGGTAATTATGAGTGGAGGGCGGGGGCGGCCTTCCGGCCGATGAAGCACAGCAGCCCTAAATACTTTGGGGATGCAAACGGGCAAACTGAAAGTGCACTGAGCTACCAGTGTATAAAGGAGGTCGGGCCAATTACACTGATGGCCGAACGAAAGCATTGTTGTGTGTTTTGTAGTGGTTGTGGTGGCGGTGTGGTGTGGTGGTTGAAGGGGGGCGTGTGCTGAAAGCCAAACTAGCCCCGCGGATCCGACCGACGGCCCGTCAACCACAGTGCGTCAAATGTTTTGGGAGAGGGTGCCACTCTCTCTCTCTCTCTCTCTCTCTCTCTCTCTCTCTCTCTCTCTCTCTCTCTCCACAGTGCATATGCATCCCTGTGCGCGCGCGAACGTGTGTGTGCACGGGGACAACAATGCTCCCGCTACAATCAAACTGCACTGTAAATCGAAAAGGCATGTTTGGCACCCAAAATGTGGTTGAACGACTTATTGCCCCCGAAGGGCAACATTTTTTGTTGCCTTTCTGTAAAGGCAACCTCTCCTGCCATAGCAGCAGTCCCAATGTACCGTCCCGATGGCTACAATTGTTGCCTTCCAGAGGGTAGCGGCGTCTACCTCGGCAGGTAACAGAGATCGCCCCCTCCACGCTCTGGGCAGTCGCCCCTGGTCCTGCACGGGTTGCAAAGGTTGGCTTGCACCAGATCAACGACCTGCACCAAATTTTAACAAAACTCTTTCTGGATGCGGCTGGAACGGAAGGGAACC